GCAGGGAGCCCGATGCGGGGCTCGATCCCAGGACCCTGGGATCATGACCCGAGCCGAAGGCAGACGCTTAACGACTGAGCCACCCAGGCGCCCCTCATGTGGTTAGTTTTCATTCCTAGGGAATGAAATTATTATGAATACTTCATCGTGAATATAAAGGTTGCATTTCCATCTAGAGATATTTAGCTAGGAAAGGAAATACATAATAATATATATAAAATTACAACTTTGTGTTGTAGAAAATAAATGGCTGTATTAAATTGTATATTTAGAAATCTTAGGAGCTAAATTGAGATTACACAGGGTCATACATTGTATGAGTCATTTATGTAAAATGTCTGGCATAGTCAAGTTTGTAGAGAACAGAAAGTAGATTAGTGGTTGCCTGTGGCTAGGGAAGGTTGTGGGGGGGGGATAAGAGGAGAGGCAACTGCTAAAGGGCAAGGTGTTCCATCTGGAGTGATGGAAATGTTCAGTGACCATACTTGGAAGACTGGAGATTAGAGGAGTTAAAGAGTAATAGAAGAAAAAGGAGGAAAGGCAGACAGATTAAGAGGGAAATACAGTTTTAGAATTAGCAATTTAAAGGTCCAACCTCCTGAAGCTAATGGAACATTGTATGTCAAGTATACTTAGGGAAAAAAAGTAGTATATACATTAAAATAATTAAAATAAAGGTCCAACTTCATGCTTTTTAAGGGTACTATCAGCACTTGCTAGCCTAGGAAATGGGTTTTGGGGTGCCAATACATTACAGACTAAGAAAACCTGATGGATTAGGTTTATGTTAAAAAGCCATGATCAGGGGCGCCTGGGTGGCTCAGTCGTTAAGCGTCTGCCTTCGGCTCAGGTCATGATCCCAGGGTCCTGGGATCGAGTCCTTCATTGGGCTCCCTGCTTGGCGGGAAGCCTGCTTCTCCCTCTCCCACTCCCCTTGCTTGTGTTCCCTCTCTAGCTGTCTCTCTCTCTGTCAAATAAATAAATAAAATCTTTAAAAAAAAAAAAAGCCATGATCAAATTTGGAGATACAACTTGTGGACTTTGGCAACAACTTACTGATTTCACATGTTACTTGTGCATAATATAGATAAGGATACCTTGACTTTTTAAATTGTTACTGTGGTTTTTTGAGAAATGAAAAGGTTAAGATTGAGGTCATTTGAATTTGATACCATATTTAGTAAATTTTCACCATTCTATTTTTATCCTATTTTCCTTTTATTTAGTATTACATCTATTTTTTAGTATCTGAAGTTAGAAATTGAGCAGAATTATTATGTATATTAATGCTCTCCAAGTCTACCTTGTATTGCCATGTATTTAATACTATAAAGAACTCTTTTAATAGAGTAAAATGATTCACTTCTAGAGTAAAACAATTCACTTTAAAAATGGGCAGGGACACCTGGGTGTCTGGTCAGTTGAGTGTCAGACTTGGTTTCACTCAGGTCATGATCTCAGGGTTGTGAGATCAAGCCCCATCAGAGCCCCAGGGCTCTGTGCGGAATCTGCTTTAAGATTCTTTCCTTATCTCTCCCCCTCTGTCCCTCCCCGCACTCCTGCACATGCTCGCTGTCCCTCAAATAATTATTATTTATAATAATATAAACTATTATATATTATATATAACATAAATATTACATATTTATATATAATAAATATATAATGAATATAATAAATATACATTAATATTATAAATGTAAATAATATAAACTATATAAACTGTTATTCCCGCAAATAAATAAAATCTTTAAATAAAAATTGACAAGTAGTTAAAAGTTTGTATAGTTAAAAGAAGATACCAAAAAATGGTCGGTAAATACATAAAAATGATGCTCGATATCTTTAGTTACCTGGGAAATGCAAATTAATACCACAGTACAGTACTAGTACACACCTACTGAAATGGGTAAAATTAAAAACTATAATCATGTTAAATGATACTAAGGATGTAGAGCAACTAGAACTCTCCCTTGCTGTCCAGGAGTATGAAATAATAAGCCAGTTTGGAGAACTGTTCTACCAGTTTCTTTCTTTTTTTAAAGATTTTATTTATTTATTTGAGACCGAGAGAATGAGAGAAAGAGAGCACATGAGAGGGGGGAGGCGCCCCACCAGTTTCTTATAAGGTAGAACTTGTATCCCTCCATATGACCCAGCAGTTCCTATTCTAGGTATTTACCTGAGAAATGAAAACATACAGCCACAAAAAGATTTGTACATTGAATGTTCATATCTGTTTCACTCATAAGAACCTCAACTGAAATTAACTGGTAGATTAACAAATTATAGTATACATAGTGTAATACTACTCATCAATAAAAGGGAAAGAACTACTCATACATGCAACACAGTGGGTGAATATCAAAAAACATCATTCTAAGCAAATGAAGTTAAAAGGAATAGTACATACTATATATCACTTATGTGGTTTTGGAATGTTCAAAAGTAATTTATAATGGTTGAAATCTACTTAATGATTACTGAAGATTTGGTGGTAGGGAATGATTGTAAAAGGTCACAAGGAACCTTTTTGGGGTTGTAGAAATGTTCTGTATATTGCTTATGTGTTTATATTTTAATAAAATTAATTTAAAAATAAACACCAGGGCGCCTGGGTGGCTCAGTTGGTTAAGCGACTGCCTTCGGCTCAGGTCATGATCCTGGAGTCCCTG